ACAGCAACTATTGAGTTGAGATTAGTCAGCATGTTTTCCCTAGTACTGTAAGTTCTGCATTTCAATGCAGGAAAGTTTCAAACGCCTGCATTATCCCAATTCCAATCTGTTTCTGTTTTTCTTTTTATTTGATAATTCTTCCAATCGAAATTTTAATCGTATGAAAGATGTATGGTGGAGCTTTAAGTTCTTGAATTATAATCTTTTAAAGTAAAGAATGTAATCTGAAAAGGAAGGGGAGGAAATAGATGGATACTAACAATCCTTTAATTTGATACTGCACCACCACTTTTACTTTGACAAGGCTTATCTGTATAAATGACCAAAAAGTGTATAAAGATTTACAACATTCATTCTCTTGTATCATAACTGGATTGATCTTCCAAGTCCATGATCATAGTAATATGTGCATCCTCAACCTTGCTATCCTTGTAATCCTTTGGAAGCACATTGCAGTTAATAGTGTGCCACACTGGTCTCTCTTCTTGGAATAATCTGCAAAATCAAGTACAGCAATCAGCTTTTTTTTTTTTTATAATCAATAAATAAATAAATAAACACCAGAAAATACAAACTTAAATGGTGGCATTAGAAACATTATGCACCCCCTGCCCCCCTTTTTTTTGTTTCATGTGCCCATGCGAGTCAAGAGAGAGATGGCGTTCCTTAACAGCAACAAAATGTGCTATCTAGATAATTATGGATGCCAATTTGAAAGCTGTCAACACTTCATCTGTATTAATAATGTTGTTGTTTGTTAGTATGACTAATTGGTATACATCAACAGTTATGACCAATTGGTAAAAGTTAAAGGTCGCTGACCCAAATGAGAAAAGATACAAGATTAATGGCTGCTGGTAAACTCTTCCCTTCTGTTTCTGTTATATAAATTGTGACACAGTATGTTCTCAAGACGGTTTTCTTTTCTCCCCGCATTATACATATCCAGCACAGTAGCATCTCAGAACACTTGCTCATTGAACATTCAATTAATGGCCCAATGCTTGGTTTTTTGAGGTGACTAGACAGTGTATCTATTGAGAAGAAGATAACAAGAAGTATTCACTCCTGTTCTGCATACCCTTCCCTATTCAGCACTTGAATAGCAAATCTTTGATCTTTCCAACAGGCACAGTCAGATACACAAAAACTAGCATCCATAGTTCTAATCTTAGCACTTAGAATAGAGAGAGAGACTCACGGGTGTTTGCATAGCATGGGGCATTGAATAGTAAGTGCATACTTGCAGGTGGATAACTCTGTAATTGAACTAATCATTGCCCTGGGCTCCGAGCACACAAATCTCACCTGCAAATAAAAATAATAAAGCATTAAAAGAAATGAGAAAGAAATCTAAAGCAAAAAACTAGGTCTTTTTCCCTCCAAAGAAAATCTAAAAACAATATAAAAATTCTGTAACTTTCTTGCTTCATACCTCCGTTTCTCGGGGCTGATTAGTAAGATCACATATGGTTCCATTTGTATACTGATGAGCATGATACCTGTATGAGACAATATGATTTTTATTTTTTTTCCTTCTTTTTAATTAAATATTATCTTTTACCTTTTTCACACTTGAAACCTTTTTGTGGAAAAATAAATAAATTGAATACACCAAATAGTCAGTGCAACTTAAATTTTTAAACCATACTGAAGTCACACCTTTGTGATGCATCTTTTGAGCGAGGATCTTTTAACGTGGAGATATCAGAGAGATTCTGGTTGAATGCAGCAGTGCCCTCTTCATCATATACACCCAAAACAAACTCCTGAACCACCTGCAATGGTTATCTAACAAATATCATTATTTTTCATGCTTGTATAATCTATCAGATCTTCAACTCCCAGTAATTCCAAAATGAAAAGAAAATGTCCAATAGAAAATTAATAAAAACTGCTATTGGGGTCTTACTTCGTTCATTAGGTATTAGATAATACATAGGAATCCTCAAAATTACTTTTATGATAGCAAAAGATACTGCTTCTGCTTTAATAACCATTACTACTACCACCTATCATACAACTTACTACTTCAGATCAAATAGATGGTGCCAACATCATATTCAGTGTCCAAAACCATCAGTTGAGTATCCATAACAGGTTCTGCTAATCAAATACATTTGGTACCTTTTACTGCAGTTCATTTCGAACAGCATGATATTCGACATCACTAAAGGATACATCAGACACATGACCCTCAAACCAGTGAAAAAAGCCTGGTCTAATGTAATCTACAAGCACCTTAAGTTCACTTAAAAGACTACCTTATCCTCTTCCAAATGTAGTTGCCGTAACTGCTTTTGATAGCAAAATTCGTAGGACCACCAACCCTCTTGCTGCATGAAAGATTTGATAACATAAGCACAAAATGTTTATGGTAGACTAAGCAGATATCAAGATACGCAGCAAGTAATTCCAAGGAAGAACAAAGGCTTTCTCAATTTATTATGTTTTAATTTTAGACGATAGAAAGATTATTCAATATAGGAAACACCAAACAAACAGTTTGTAGGAACCAAATGCTCACTCTGAGAAAGCATCGATCTTTCAGTACTTCCAGTAGTTCATCTGGTGTCTTCAGTTTAACCCGTTTCTCACTTTCCACAATCATGCTGCTTGTGTTCTGCTGAATAACTGGCTTTCCGGTCTTAGCTTTCTCCACCTTAGGCAAGAAACATAAAAAATTCTTTCCATCTTTATTAGGCATAACAACAGACTCCTGATCATCATCCTGCAAAATATCACAGGCATTATAATATTAACAAAGTTCCAGAAAAGAAAAGATTCACATGGAACTTGATAGGTTTACATGAAAGAAAAAACCAGCCCATTGAAGCTACAAGCACAGGGAAAATTTATGACAAGACTAAGAAGCCAAGATTTCATTATTCTTATATCCTTAATAACCATCTCACAGAGAAACAGAACCACGCCGCACTCTAATCATAAATTCAACACATTCTCTCCAATTTGAAAATAAGAAATTTCTTAAGCATTCCAACATAGGACATGAGATCATTATATTGAGTCAATCACGAGGATGTACAGAAGATGCATGTTGCTAATGTATTTGAATTGGTTAGTAGGAAAAACAACTATAAGCTGCAAATATTAAGAGTATGTTATTTAGAAAACTTTAAAATTAAAAACTTCCAGATTATTTTAAGATGTAGGTGTCAGTGGTTTCAGGATTTTTACATGTCACCATTTACAAATTTTACTCGCTCAAAAATAATTAGTAGTAGAAAAAGATTCTCTAATATGCCATGAATAAATGGCAAAGCCCCAGTGAATATGCAGATGATACTATAACTTAATATAGAATGTTGTTTTCTATGCCAATTCATTATACAAATTCCATCATGCAATAAGATCCTAAAAGGGTCACAGTGGCACTAAGAAGGCATTACTTACTAAACTTAAACTCCATTTTCAAGTTTAAAGAAATTTTTAATGAGATAGATATGGATGGTACACGAAGAATAAACCTAAGCGAATGATTAGTAGAAAAGGAGAGGCAAGAAAGGAAACTTTCCTTATCAATGGTAGAGATTGATGTACTCATATTGTAAATACAGGGACATGATTGCGAAATCTACAACTAAGATCGAATATGAAGCGATAAGCAGGAAAGAAGAGACTGCAAAGTGTTCATCCAGATTTTATCAAAAGTAGCACTGAAGAGCAACCATATGCTTAAAATCCTAAGCTTACTTACAGGATGGTAGGGGGAATCTTCTGTATGGAACTCAATCTTGTATTTTGGTTCACGGGTGCTCCGGCCAAATGTGCCAGCTGTTGATCAGTAAAGTATCAGAGAAGCATCAGCAAGCATGACAAACTTGAAAGCAGTAGAACCAATATTCTAGAATACTAAAATCAGAAGACAACGACCACAGCCAATAATCAATTTCAATATAGTTGGATGAAAACTCTGCATATGATAACATCACCCACAAAGACTTATTTGTGTAAGACAATAAGCATTATTGGCACCTATTATGGCCTGAACATAGCTTAACTACTCCATAACGATTAATAGATCTTTCTAATGGCCCTTGTTGTATGAGAAGACAGTGTATTCTACTCCTATTTTATTCAGTCTCTGGATTACTTTGTTTCTCAAATTTCTAGTTCTGTATGTTAAGTACCAATAGCCTTTCATTAGCCACAGATACACAAGCTCTTAGCATAAATTTTCTCTCAACAAATCAATAGTCAACTTAAACCTATTAGCAACTCTGCAAAAAACATTTGCCTAACATAGTCAGCATTCACAATTAAAAAACTAAATACAATTGCAAACTCTTTCTAATTGGGGGGAAAGGGAAACAACACTTTGATGCCGAAATCTGTTTACTTAGATCATAACAAATATTTACCATGCTGCCAGGTAAAAACCCTGAGAAGTGATGTAGGCATCAAATCTCGGGCCACTGAAGAACAATCATATATCTAATGTTCACCCCATTTTATTACAACCCTCGGCTGAATGAAAATAAAAAACCACAACATCCCCTTTTCTTACTATGAAGGGCTTTAGCTCTACGAAGCTCCTTCCTGTCTTTGGTGCTCATTTTACCACTCAAGCACAAAAATAACTCAGTCATCTATTTCTGTTCATATAAATCACTCTCTATTTGTAACTAAACAAGAAGCCTTGAAACAAGTACATTATATTTCAACTCTTCTACGTTTCACACATGAAAAGAAAAAATTAAAGAAAATTAAATAAAAACCCAGATACAAAATAACAAAATTAAGATGAATTAGACCAAAAAAAAAACTCTGGAATTTACATTAAAAAGTTGAATTTTGAGATTAAAAAGAAATATGTATGGACTTACCTACATGAGATGGGAAAATCTGATCGGCTAAAACATTGCTGCACAAGATACATAAAACTGCTACCAAGCTAATAAATAATCTCATATTCTTATTTCTTTTATTTTGAGAAAAGGTTAGTTTAAATCTTAAGTAAATACGAACCCTGCTAAGAAATAAAAATAATAAAAAGGAAGCAAAATCACCCAAAGCGGAAGAAGAGGAAAAAGAAGGTGGGTCGAAGTCTGAATCCAGTGACGTTGAAGATGACACAACTCCATGCACGTTACCCAATCCTATCTCGCCACGTAACGCATAGTGGTCACAGAGGAATTTTAACCAATGCCTAAGGGGGCCATTTAATTTATCATGTTTCGGACCAACGGCCCAAAAACAGCCCCTTCAACTAGGAGACTTTGTCTTCAATCGAGAAATGATGGGAATCTTTTCATTGATTTAGTTTGATGTCAAACCATAATTAAAGCCAATACTCGTTACAAAGTTTGATTAATTATTTTCTTCCTTTTTGACTGCATCTTTTGTAACAATGGACATTGACAATGCCCAAAACGATGTGAATTAGTTTCACTTATTTTCTTTACAAGAGTTTTAATCAATGTATTTAATGTGGAATCTATGTTTATAGTCATGTTTTATATGCTTAACATTTCTATAATTTAAATAATTAATTAGAATTGATCCCAAATCGTCTTACTGATAGAACCAGTAATTTGGTGACCAGTTAATCAACATTGTTATGGACAGAATTTTGTTTTCCCTAATGAAGTTACCATATTAACAATTTTAAAATTATTGTTATTATCGATAGAATTATTACTTGCACATTTTCATAAACAAAAACATTACTTGCATTAAGATTCCTTAGATATAGTACTGGGTATTTACTAGCATTTACCAAGAGTCGGTCTTGAGTTTTTACATTTTGTATTCTATAGTGTACAATAATTATTAAACTTACTAGACATATTTGAGACTACATGCTTTTTGCTAGTGAAATATTTGGGTGGATAATTAAGAAACCAGGCCAGCAACATGGAGATGAAGTTCCTTTTTAATTACTTGATGCTTGATTATTTATAAATAATCACTTAATTAGGAAAAGACTAATACGGAAAGTGTCAACTTTTGAGGAGTTTGTTTGAGCATTGAATGTTTTCCTCAAGTAATGGATTAAGATTAGAAAGAGAAAAAGCATAACCCTTGTTTTGACAAATTAATCTTTTGGTGCTAATGCATCTTTCACTTAACATCATTGAAGCATAAGGTTCATTGATTGGTCTATCCTCTTAGATCAAAAGTAAGAGTTAGAGAGTGAAAATGGCAAAGATGAAGAGAATATTGGATGAAATGGAGAAGAATACTAGGCACTTTGTGTAACTCTAAAATACTTTCAGATTCAAGAGAAAACCTAGAGATTATCAATAAGACCTTTTAATTTATATACAACCCTAAAGATTGAGTTGCTAACCACTTAAACAGAGCATTTGCTTTCCAAACGACTTGTAAACTTCCTTTTGGTCTATATGTCCTCTGTTTTTCATCTTCTTTTGACCCAAAATAGAAGAACAATGCATATTGAAGAAAAGGTAAGAGTGAGAGATGCTAATTAAGAACAAAAAATAGGAATATGCCCAAGGTTTTGCCATGCGAAGTGAAGGCGCGAGTGTCTAAGATGTATGCCAAAAGGATTAGGTAAAAAGAATTGCAAGAACAATTCTCTGTTCTTGTTAGGGCATTTGGTCAAGCCCAAGGAGGAGATGAAAGAATTGTATTTTCAAGTAAAAAATTTTAGGAGGCGTCAGAATTTGGTCGGTCAACCGAGTGAAAGCACATCGGGGTGGGGCGGTGACTTGTAACTGTAGTTAAAGTCACGTTTCTGTAGAAATCTTTTCTCGCAACTTTTCCAATAACATGTCCAAAACCAAGTCACCCACCAAAACCCAAGGAAAGGTTTCCATCTGAGTTCCCAAGAACAGCTGCCCTGCCTTTTACAGTGTGCACTTTTCTCACTCCTTGGCTTGCAATTGCAGAAAACTCATAGTTTTTTCTTTTTGTTTGTGTGATTGGCAGTTGTTTCGGACCCACCATAGTCCATAGGTTCGTTACTTTATCACCACATGGGGATAGATAGAGTGGTGCCCCCCCTTTTAGCCTTTCCGTGGCAGACAACATTGTATAATTATATATTTTTATCATAATCTGCAAAAAGGGGGAAACAAAAATTTTCCCATTCAACTCATCTCCATTAAATAAATTTGGACCTATAAGAATTCTCAATTGTCTTCTTTCACATGACTTTCCAACCTGCCTTCGACACTAAGGAATGAATGGCTATTGCCAGGGTGTTTTCTTATCAATTGGTTTAACTCTTTTTTATTCAGTATTTGTTTATCAGCCCCTATTTATTTTTATGGTTACCAGAATGCTTTGATGATGCCATTCTAATATCAACATTAAGTGCTTAATCATTACTGTTCTTATTAAAAAGATACTAATCATGATAATCTTTTATTCTTAAGTATAATGGTAATGAAAAAGATGCATCAGCACCAAAAAGATAATCAAAGCAAATGATTTCAATGTTTGTTCTATATTTTTCTCTTTCCAATCTCAACCCACTCAATATATCTTGTTTGAGGGACAACAATTAATTCACAGACTAATTTCTTTCTAAGTTATCATGTTCTTGGCTTGATAAATCATTGGATTCACTTAGTTTTGGGATTAAAAGTAACTCCAATATTACAACATTTATTAACTTAAATAAAGTTATTGACATCATAAGTTGAGATTAAATGGTGATAATAATGATCAAACACCCATGATCCTTTATTACTTTGAATTAATACAGTATATAACTGGAACACAAATTGCCTTAGATTCTTTAATCTCATATTGTATTCATGTCCTCCTCCTTCAAATTGAAAGAACCTCATATGTTGACCAAAAAATATCAATATGTTTAGTATTTCAAGGAAGCCATTATGGGGCACGATGGGATTGGATGTAGCAAAAAATTCAAGGGAGCTGACAAATCTAATGACGAATGGAAGTGGCAGTAGTCAAACAGATCTGTGCCTTTGGCTTTTATCAAACGTCCCCAAGAAATTTGGAATCCCGCGGAAAATGGACCCCACTGTATTTTCCTCATATTAAGAAAATAATTTAAATACAACCCAAAAATAAGATTAATATTCTTAAACCAATAAAGCAATTTGCATATGAGAAATGTAAAGAAAGATTTTGGTTTGGTTGGAGCCTTTTGTGGCGTTTACGTTAAGCTGGGAAAATCTTAAAGACATCACAACGTAATACAAAAAGCAACACCCGATAATATAAAATTAAAACAAAAAACCGGAAAACGTTGGTCTGTTTTCTTTTCTTCCATGTTCTCTCTGCAACACAATACATTATCCCATTTTCTCATAAAAACATTCTCTTTTGTGAGTTTTGCAGGAAATTTTCAATAGCTCATTCTTGAGATTTCATTTCCCAGATAAGCCCCCTGCCTTAAAAGTTTTCTTCTTTATTTTTGGTTTTGCGTGAAGGTCTTTATCTTTTTAGTTGAAGTTGAAGGATTGTGGATTGATTTGTTTCTCTCTGAATTGGGATTTGTTATTTCTTTGTTAAGGAGTGACAACTCCTGGTTTGGAGGGGGTAAAGACGATACTTTTCTTTTTGTGTTTTCATTTTCTGGTGATTTATATTATGTATATGTTGGTGTGCTAAGGGGAGATCCCATTTTAGCTTAGAGGGAGAGATTTAAGTTTTTGGAGTTTTTTTGGTAGATTGACACCCAAAATTGGAGGTTTTGTTTGGAAAAGATTTCTGGGTTTTGATGGTTTTAGCTGCCTAAGAGCTTTTGTTTTGGAGTTCTTGTCTTATTTGGTGTATTTGAATTGGTTTGTGGATCTGTGTTCATAGTCGTTGGGGTTGGATTTTTAACTTGTGTGAGAAGTTAGACAAAGGGGGTAGTGATCTTTTTTTTCTTGCTGTGTTTCGTTTGATTTGTTTGTGGGGTTTCTAGTTTGAGCCAAGTTATACAGTTGGTGGTAGTATTTTGGGTTGGTTTTTCTGTTGTTAGAAATTGTTGGATTTGCAATGGGGAAGCATAATGGAAAGAATAAGAAGCAAACAGGACAAGCAGGTGGTAGTAATGTGAAGCAAAGCAAAGTTGGAGATAGTAGTTCGAAAGCCTATGACAAGGACACGGCAATTTTCATTGCCATGTCTCAAGAATTGAAGGAAGAGGGGAACAAACTGTTTCAGAAGAGAGACCATGAAGGAGCAATGTTGAAATATGAGAAGGCCCTCAAATTGCTTCCAAAGAATCACATAGATGCATGCCATCTTAGGAGTAACATGGCTGCATGTTATATGCAGATGGGATTGAGTGAGTACCCCAGGGCAATCCACGAGTGTAATTTGGCACTAGAGGTAACACCCAAGTATAGTAAAGCACTGCTAAAGAGAGCAAGGTGTTACGAGGCTTTAAATAGGTTGGAATTAGCTTTCAGAGATGTTCATACAGTTCTGAACATGGAGCCAAATAATATCATGGCATTAGAAATTTCGGAAAGGGTAAGAAGTACACTTGAGAAGAAAGGGTTACGGGTGAATGATACTGTGATTGAATTGCCTCCAGAATATGTTGAACCTCCAAGTGCTTCACAAAGTCTAAAAATTGTCAAAGAGAAAACCAAGAAGAAGAACAAGAAGAAAAGCAATAAAGCCGAAGAGAACAAGGCTGTGGACCAAATTGAGGAGAAGAAGGTTGATGAAAATATAGATGAAAAGAAGGCTGAGGATAAACGGGTTGTAGAAGAGAAAATTAGCAGTAAAATGGAAGAAGAACCTAAGAAGATTGTGAAGTTGGTTTTTGATCAAGATATAAGATGGGCTCAGTTGCCACTTAATTGCAGCCTTCTGCAATTAAGGGAAGTTATTCATGATCGATTTCCTAGCTCAAGAGCAGTTCTTATGAAATACAAGGATGAAGAAGGTGATTTAGTCACAATCACCAGTGATGAAGAATTGAGATTGGCTGAACTATCAGCAGAATCACAGGGTTCTGTGAGGCTGTATATTGTAGAAGTCAACCCTGACCAGGATCCATTCTTTGAGAGATTTAAGTGTGAGGCGGTTCACAATCTTCAGATAAAACAAGGTAAGCCAGCTGAAAATGGGGATGTCAGAAATGGTATGGAAGCAGGAAAAG